CCGGGCTAATGTAGCCACGCCTATTTACAAATAACAACCAATGAGATTGCTAGAATAAAGACCAATGGGAGTCTTTCCCTCCTAGGGAATGGTATCGTTCTGATTGGTCGCTGTTACGAAGCGACCAATAGGAAGTTCGCTCAGAGGAGCCCTGGTCTGGCTCGAAGCTTAACATGGGAGTCCTATGAGGTGATTCATGTAATCATTTCAATACATTACACATATGAAATGGCACTAGGGATCCCAAGTCCCCCCGGGGGGCAAGGAAACCCCCGCCCCGAGGTCCATTCCCCGGTGGTGCCGGATTGGGCCCCGGGGGGGAACTCCACCCCGCCGTCCACGTTACCCAGGGCGTCCTCCCGTCACTTCCGGGTGACGTGCGCTCCCAGCGAAGATAGACTTGGCAACCCTAAATGGCACACAGCCTACGAACCCTGGTCAATCCAATTGCAGTCTCTACACAGGGGTATGGAACGAAGGCAATGATGGTTATTAGTGGCAGCACTCAAAACTGAGATCTGGATTTCTTGTGATGATATCCTGGCTTGTATCCTAAGGCTTGCTTCTGATTGCACCCCTCTTTCCTTTCCTTTTATACCCTTTGAAGCTCATTGATTCACAGATCTTGGGCAGCAGAAGATACTTGCTTCTTGTTATTTTTTGGGTGTGAGGGCTAAAAGGGCTGAGACAGATTTTGCAATTGCTAGAGTAAATTTAGGATCCTTATCACTGAGCAAAAGAGCCAGGGTTTCCAGAGGGGGACAGTTGGTTGATTAAAGGCATAATATAGTGGTCCCTCTTGTATGGCTGTGGCCCCACCCCCAGCATGCCTGGCGTCCTCCCGTCACTTCCGGGTGACGTGCGCTCCCAGCGAAGATAGACTTGGCAACCCTAAATGGCACACAGCCTACGAACCCTGGTCAATCCAATTGCAGTCTCTACACAGGGGTATGGAACGAAGGCAATGATGGTTATTAGTGGCAGCACTCAAAACTGAGATCTGGATTTCTTGTGATGATATCCTGGCTTGTAGCCTAAGGCTTGCTTCTGATTGCACCCCTCTTTCCTTTCCTTTTATACCCTTTGAAGCTCATTGATTCACAGATCTTGGGCAGCAGAAGATACTTGCTTCTTGTTATTTTTTGGGTGTGAGGGCTAAAAGGGCTGAGACAGATTTTGCAATTGCTAGAGTAAATTTAGGATCCTGATCACTGAGCAAAAGAGCCAGGGTTTCCAGAGTGTAGGGGCCCTGGGGGACAGTTGGTTGATTAAAGGCATAATATATTTTATATTTTCAAAGAACCTGCATCCAGGCAGGGCACGGAAGGATGTCTCTATCCTAGTAAGGCCACAAAAGCAGATTCTGTCAGAATAGGACCTGTTCAGAAATCTCCCCTGTAAGACCACTGTAGGTATAATATTCAATCCTGCAAACAAAAAAGTTCTACAGTAACATGGGATGGTAAGATAGTACACATAGGGGGTAAAGAGCTTGGGAAAGAAAGACTAAAAGATAGGGGTAAGCAAACTCTGTGGGCTCTCAGGATCAGAGTACTATAATTGATTTCTAGGACACACTTCTTGATCAAAGAAAATGCTTTAGATTTGCCCATCTCAAAAATATAATTAACCGACATTCCAACTATCATCAGTTTCTCATCCAGTGCTTTCATCCAAGTCGACTTGTGGGTATCTCAGTTTAGAGCGGCTAACAAACAATCTTCAGCACAGAGCTGTTTTAATCTCAGTTGAAAGGCATAAAGCCATGCTCTTGCTTCTGATATCTGTCCAAATTCTGCCTGCAATACAACATTTGACACACAGCAGGGAATATTCAGTATTTTCCTTAAAAAATGTACTAAGGGTTGATCGATGTTATCAGAGATAGCTTTAATCCAAATAGCTGAGTCATAAAGGATGAGGGGATCCACTTTCAAATTAAAAGTTTGCACCACTCCAGGAATATAATCCCCTTCCCTTATTATCGAACAACCTATTTATGCTGCTTGTGCATGGTTTCATTTTATTAAGCGCTCATCTAAGCTGAAGGATCCAAGATGGATCTGCCGGGGGGGAATCCCCAAATAGGAGAAGGCCTTGACTTGCTCAATACTGGACCCACTGATAGACCATTGAAACAGGTTCCATTTTCTGGTCTTGGTGAAAACTAGCATCTTAGATTTTGAATAATCACCAAGCTTTCTCAAGAACAATAATTAGAAAAAAATTGCAAGGCCTTTTGCAGCCTGACCCTAGTTCTGGACAAGATCATGGCATCATCTGCATAGAACCAAATAGGCACCCCAATCTCAGCTGATTTTGGTGGATGGCCGCAGTCATTAAAGATTGTTGCGATGTCATTTAAATATAAATTAAACAAAAAAGGTGCCAACAAACATCCCTGTCGTACTCCCTTTTCCAGATTAAATGGATATGTTAAATTCCCATTCACACCCACATTGTATTTGGGCAGTCGAACCTGAATGTAATTGTTGAATAAGTCCTAGGAGTCTTTTATGTATAGTAGTTTGATTAAATTTGTCCCACAATCTGTGCCGATTTATAGAATCAAAGCCTTCTTGAGGTCAATAAAAACTGCATATAGATGCTCCCCCACCCCTTAAAGGATGAATAGTTCTGAATCAGGTGATAAAGAACTAGGCAGTGGTTGTATGTTGAAGAACTCTGCCTAAATCCTGTCTGTTTATTTATTTATTTATTTCATTCGACTTTCTGTCCCGCTCACACCCCCTAGGGGCTCTGAGCGGCTTACAATTCAAATTACAACAACCCTAATCTAGGGCCACATTTACGTAAGGGGAAGGTGAGAAGCCTACCAGGCACCCTTGTTTTAGTTGTAGCAGATCTTCTTGCGAGGGGACAGTCCGGCGGTGACCCTTCTTCGGCGCTGGTCTTCGTTATTCCTCCTTTCCGGATGTCACACTTTCCGTCTCCAGGCCAGGACCACTTCGCGCTTCTGTGCCTGCTCGCAGCGGCCTCCGTCCAAGTCAGGCTCCTGTTCATATCCCATTAAGGTTTCTGATTCCATCCAATCCAGGAGCTTCTTTAGTAGATAAGCAGAGTATAGCTTTCCTACAGAAGAAAGAAGGCTGATTGGTCAATAACATGATGGATCACTTCTGGACCCCTTTTAAATACTGGGACAATAATAGAGTGTTTCCATAAATCGGGTATTTGTCCACTGATGTTAATTTGAGTGAAAATTGGGGCCAGAACTGTGGCCTACCATTGTGGATCACCCTTAAATAGCTTGTTAAGGATTAGATCAGACCTTAAGGCTTTTCCTAGTTTTAATCCCTTGATAAGGCAAATGACCTCCTTAATTGTTACCTTGGACCAAGATGCTGTTACATCAAGAGGAATAATAAAGGGTGTACTAGGTGTACTAGCACTACCATCGGAGAATAGCTTCCTGAAATAGTTTTCCCATGTCAGAGGGGCAATACAGTTTGGGATTTTAGAGGCTGGGTTTATAGCAGAATAGACAATAGACCAGAAGGCCTTATTATCATTGTTATTAGCAGCTGGAATCAGATATCTCCATTCCTTATTAAAGGCCATCTGTCTCCTCATTTTAATCATTTCTCTGTACGTTTTCTTCAGCTCCATCAGCTCTTGATTGCACCCCTCTTCATCTGTCACACAGCCAATCCTCTGTTGCACAACACTGTCTTCCAGTGCTAGGTACTCTTTGGCTCATTGAAAGATGTTAGCTTTGTGTGGGTGAAAGCTTGTAGCACCAGAGGAACACAGTCTGCAGCAGAGGACCATGGTTTGTAATCAAAAATAGCACAGTGCATAAGCAAGGTTTAGCCTCCAAGCCGTGTCCAAATTCCAGCAATTCTACAACAAAAGTTGTATTTGTTATATTTCATTCGTAAGCCATTTCCCAGGTGAGCTGCAATGGTTGTATGGATGGTCTCAGAAATTCACAATAGCTATGGAGTTTAATGCTGTGTACTAGTGGTAGAGCATTTGCTTTGCATGCAGAAGGTCCAAGGTTCAATACCCCAAAACTCCAGTTAAAAGGAATATGTAGAAGGCAATGTCTCTGCTTGAGACTGTGGAGAGCTGCTGCCAGACAGAGTAGATAATCCTGACCTTGGTACACCAATGGTCTGACTTGGTATTGGCAGGGCCAGCTCTACCACTAGGCCAACCTCGGTGGCTGCCTAGGGGCGCACACATCAGGGGGTGCAGAGAAGCTCCCTCAGAGGAGATGAAGCCCCGGTCTTGCCAAGGAGCAGCAGCCTTTCCCCAGCGGAAACCGGACTCACATGCACACGCACTCTCTAGAACGCCCCCGTGCCTGCCCCCCCACCCCCCCAGCCTCGAGGCACCGCCACAGTGCCCTGCCCTGCTTTGCCAGGCAGCCAAAGCCTCCGCAATGCCCGTCCCACCCACGCCCACCTTCTCCGGGGCACAGTGGCCAAAAATACCAGGTGCCATCAGGAGGTCCACCAGTGGGGCCAGGACACTCGAAGCCCCCCACTGTTGCCCCCCCAAAAAAACACCATTGTGGGTGAGAAGTTGTTTTAGGTTAGCAGGCTGTCTGTAAGCAAGAAAAAGTCAGGCTCCCAGTGCCTGTGTGAGGGAAGTGTCACTATCTAGCATGGGTTGTAGGTCATTAATAATCTGCTGAACTGGCTTGAGGAAGCTTCCTGAAAGCTTATACCCTGCCACAAATTTTGTTAGTCTTTACGGAGCTACTGGGCTCTTACTCTTTTCTACTGCCCCCTAGCATACAGCTACCATCCAATTATAACACACTTCAATCACCCATCCATCCCCCTTCTTTCATACTCTAAAGGCCTGCATTTTGAACTACAGCAACACACACGTAAAACCCCACATTAAAACACAGGAATAAAACACACACAAAATACCTACCTAGCAAAACCCCACACCTTAGCTTTTGTGACATCTTTTTCTCTGTGTTATGTTGCATAGAGGTCTAATTTGTCCCTTTTCCTTTCCAGCATTGAAGCAGCAGCCATTATGGCTGAAGACAGTACCACCCTTGACATTGTTACAGCCACCTGGAAGCTTGGGATGAATCAGTCTGTTTGGCCCAACACAACAGCCCAAAATGACTCCTGCCCCTGGCACGTAAAGTGGGAGTGGCTATTTGCCACCCAGCCATTTTTCCTCTGGTTTCTTACTGCCTTGGGAGTGGTCGAGAATGTGTTTGTCCTCCTTGTTTTCTGCCTCCATAAGAGTCGCTGCACAGTGGCTGAAATCTATTTGGCAAACTTAGCCATGGCTGACCTTTTGCTGCTCTGCGGATTACCCTTTTGGGCCATTAACATGGCTAATAACTTTAATTGGCCGTTTGGGAACTTCCTTTGCAAAGCCGTCAACAGCATCGTTCAGATGAACTTCTATTCTAGCATTTACCTCTTGGTGATGGTAAGCATCGATCGCTACCTGGCCTTGGTGAAAACGATGACGCTGGGAAGGATGCGCCGACCGCTGTGTGCCAAATTGAACTGCCTCATCATTTGGATTTCTGCACTGCTCCTCTGTTCGCCTGTTTTGATATTCAGATCGACACAGTACATGCCTAAGTACAAGGTCACAGGCTGCATTCTGGATTACCCACTTCATAGCCATTGGCAAGTGACTACCAACGTCCTGCTGAACACAGTCGGCTTTCTGTTGCCTCTCTGTGTCATTACCTACTGTACGGTTCAAATAATCCAGGCTTTGAAAAACAACAACCTTCGAAAGCTCAAAGCAGTCCAGACAGAGAAGAAAGCCACCACCCTGATCCTTGCGGTCCTTCTTCTGTTTATTATCTGCTGGCTTCCTTTCCAGATCACCACGTTCTTTGACACGTTACTCAAAGTCAAAGTCATTTCTGGTTGTGCCGCTGAAGAAGCCATACACGTGACCACCCAGATTGCCACGTACTGTAGTTTCAGCAACAGTTGCCTTAACCCTATAGCCTATGTCATTGTGGGAAAACATTTCCAAAAGAAATCCAAGGAGGTCTACCATCACTTGTTCCTTAGGAGGCCCAGCCAAGCACCATCAGTCCAGATGGTGAGTTCCATGGATACCCTCAGAACTTCTATTTCAGTGGAGCGGCTACGGAAAAAATCTACTGTACCACGATAGCACAATTTTCATGTTTCTATAGTAGAGGCAAATCCTTAAATGAAGCAGTGGGTTATCTCTCATTTCACCTCAGTTTATATTGTGCTCCCCATCTGAACAGAATGGAGTCATTTATGACAAAACCTTGGGACAGCTAGCATTGTAGTAAAGTTGTACATCCACCTGTTTGTAATAGATGCCCTGTGGATTGGAATAATTTTTGTTGTTGTTCAGTCGCGCAGTCGAGTCTGACTCTTCGCGACCCCATGGACCACATCATGCCAAGCCCTTCTGTCCTCCACCATCTTCTGGAGTTGGCTCAATTTCATGTTCGTTGCATCGATAACACTGTCTAACCATCTCATCCTTTGCCGTCCCCTTTCTTCTTTTACCTTCAATCTTTTCATTTTTCATGATATATTATGGAGGAATCTTCTTGGGCATTTCCCCCCCATTTGGGCATTACTGAAACTCAGCCACTCCTAACAGCTTACATTGCTTTTCTTGGTACCTAAACTACACAAGGCTGTAGAATGCCATAATATGTCTACATACATATCCTGCAACTAACTTAGTGAAAATTCATATGACTTATTTCAATAGAGTATGAGAACATGTCCAGATAGCAATCATGTTTCTTGTTGGAAGCAGTACATCCAGCAGTAAGCTACCATATAAAAACAGTAAAATGATGGCAGGTATGAATATGCTAACTGGCCCTTAGTTCATCTACATTTCCTTAGAAAGCAAGTAATCTTTATTGGCAGACCCATGAACAAGAGCCACTCTGGAAACTGTGGGGTCCCAGATCTTGTTGAGCCTGTGGGCATTTGGGGAATTTTGAGAACAGGTTTTGTGGTGGGTACCACAATAAAAGGACTGCTGTGGAGTAGATGGTGACAACCACAAAACTGCAGCAGTGGGAACTATATTAAGTCCAATCACAGAACACAGGGCTATTCCACAAAGTGTTTGGAGGTTCCAAGCCAAGCTTCTTCCAAGAGAGCCAGTTTGGTATAGTGGTTATGATTTGATTCCCCATTCCTCCACATGCAGCTGCTGATGTGACCTTGGGCCAGTCACAGTTCTCTCAGAGCTGTTCTCTCACGAGCAGTTCTCTCAGAGCTATCTCAGCCCCACCCACCTCACAGTGTGTCTGTGTGGGGAGGGGAAAGGAAAGGATATTGTAAGCCGCTCTGAGACTCCTTCGGGTAGTGAAGGGTGGGGTATAAATCCAGTCTCCTCCTCCTCCTTGTATGGAGGCAACTATTTCCAAATGGAAGCCCCCTGCAGACACCCCTGGGCTTTTAAAAAGTAGGTCCTACTCAACTGTGGTAAAGGAAAGCCAGAACTGGCTCTTTGCTTTAGGGAAGAGGTGTTTGGGGAAGGAAACAAGTGGGAGCAGGGAGCAGACTGGCTGGTGCCATAGCATCCATGGTGACTATGCAGAGAATCACTCACTGATCTAGTGTCTCAAGAAATGTTATTCCACCACTAAAAATGTAACACTGCACTGGCTTGGGAGGATTACTTCATTCCATGAACAACAACACTTCAGGTGTTTGGAAGTACTTCTTCACCCAAAGAGTGATTAACACTTGGAATTCACTGCCACAGGAAGTGGTGGCAGCTACAAGCATGGATGGCTTCAAAAGGGAATTAGATAAGCATATGGAGCAGAGGTCCATCAGTGGCTATTAGCCACAAGGTATAGATAGGGGCTCTGGGGCAAGTGATGCTCTGTCTTCTTGGTGCTTGGGGGGTCAACAGTGGGAGGGCTTCTAATGTCCTGGCCCCACTGGTGGACCTCCTGATGGCACTGGTATTTCTGGCCACTGTGTGACACAGAGTGTTGGACTGGAGGGGCCTTTGGCCTGATCCAACTTTGGCGTCTCTTATGTTCTTATTGAATTCTTTGGTTGTAGAATGCCAGACTAACTGCACACAAGGAGCAAAACTATGCAATTGATCAAGGTGGGAGACCACACTGGGAAGGGGGTGGCCAAGAGTTCCAAGGGGAATCCAGGCTGCAGGCACCAGTGAAATGATATTTCAGAAATAAAATAGGTGTTTTTCTTTCATGAGAATTAAGACTGCAGAGATGGGAGGGGAAGGGACAGGATCAGGGAGGGAGACTCATATTATACATTTTATATATGGGCCCTGAAGAATAACACTGGGATCTGGAATTATGTATTATTCTGCCAGGTGATATTTTCCTTAAGACTAAGTCTCAAACTCTCACACCATCATAGGATGGAGCAACTGAAGGCATCATCTTGCCAACAATAATACTGTAGCACTGTATCAAGTCTAGCACACATAAATGCACACACACCTTTATTCTACTCTGTACAGAACTTGACACATCAGAATTTCCAGTAAACTCTTGAAAATATACAAGAGTCACAGGCTGCAAGTCACACACACTAAATAATCCACTTTCAATCCACTTTCCAACCGGATTTTGCCAGTTCACACAGTAAAAATCCAGTTTCAAAGTGGATTGAAGGTGGATTATTAAGTGTGTGTGACTGTAGCCACAGTCACTTAAATTTGTTACTTCAGAGTACAACAACTTAAGGACACTTAGACAAGATCCAGCTTAGCTAGATGACCTCTGAGACTGTTTTTAAATCCGATCTCATTGCCAGTGAGGTACCTCTTCACACATTATGGAGACGTACAGCTTGCGTCCAGGGTCGCCATCTTGTACCCTGTCTAACAGCCACATGTGACTTGGAGGTTCTTCTCAGTTCCTGTGTACGTGGTGACTGTGGTGGGTGTGAAAGGGTTTTGGCCTTCCCCCTTGTCCCATTTTCCTGACCTGCAGTGGTCCTGTGGGTGTGCTACCCCTCCAGGGTCATTTCAGGTCATAAATATGGAGGGGGAGGCTGAAGCCCCTTCTCCATGCTGCTGCATTCATGATCCAAACTGGGCACCAGGGGCATGGGAACTGTGGAGAACCTGCATGCCACTTGTGACTGTTGGACTCAAGACACAGGGTGAGGGGCCCTGACACAGTCTGAGCCACTCCTCTACTAGCAAGAGCTGCTGACATTCATTTTAATAATAAAGATAGAGTTGTGTGCTCATTCCATGGTCTACACACCTGTCCCAGTAGAAGGGGTCAATGGGATGGCCTGTGTTTACACAAGAGCACCATATGAACAATGCTGAGCATGTCTCAATTTAGGTAATTTTTTTTAAGACAGAGCATTTACTCCGTCTTCATCTTATCTAATACCTTTTTAATCTCACTGTTTCTTCAGAGAACTCAGGGAAGTGTATACGGTTCTTCCTTCCCCCAGTTTATCCTCACAGCAACCCTGTGAGGCTAACTACCCCAAATCAACACCTAGTGAGCTTTGTGGCTGAGTGACTATTTGGACTAATCTTCTGCACTGTCATTTTTTGTCACTCTTTGGTCCCTATTACTTTGGGTTCCTCCTCCTTTTTTCCACATATGTTTTGCTCCCTTTGGGACCACTAGAGAGAGCAAAACACATTGGGGGGGGGGACGACACCCTGAAGCAATAGGGACAAACGAGTGACGAAAATGATAGTGCGGAAGTGGCGTCAGACCAAGCTCTGAATACTTTACCATGGAGGCTGTAAAATGGATGACTGTCCTGACAGAGCATGATGTGTGAGAGCCTGTGGCAGCGGGGACATTCCAGGTCTACTCTGAGTCTAGAAATGAAGGCTGAAATCAGTTCAGAGCATTCGTTTCTCCAGAGAAGACACTTGTACAAAAATATGTAATATATAAAAAACATATAATTGTATAACTGTCTTGTTAACTATGTTTTCTATAAAATAAATATCTGTTGTTTTCATCAACACTCCAGCGTGGCTTTTCTGTCTACAGTGGGCGGAGGGAACAGCTCGTTAGTTCAGTAGAAGTGTAGGTGCAGCCATTCCTAATAAGGTTAACTGAATAATCTAATCCATAGGAAGCTACTGTATACTGACTCAGACCCTTGGTCCATCAAGGTCAGCACTGTCTGCTCTGACCAGCAGCAGCTCTCCAGCATTTCAGGTAGAGGCAGGGCTCTTTTTGTAGAAAAAGCCCAGCAGGAACTCATTAGCATAATAGGCCACACCCAACAGCAGGAACTCATTAGCATATTGGGCCACACCCCTGACGGCACAGCTCATTAGCACATTAGGCCACACCCACATGTTACCAGAAGTGTGGTCATCCAGCCACACCCATCTTTTGCTTGTTATTCTGTTTACCTTGTTTGTTGTCAAAACCCAGGGCCTTTTTTTTTGTAGCAGGAACTCCTTTGCATGTTAGGCCACACACCCCTAATGTAGCCAATCCTAATGAGTTTCTGCTGATGGGTGTGGCCTATTATGCTAATGAGTTCCTGCTGGGCGTGGCCAACTTGGGAGCCAGCTGGAACTCCGTTCCTGTGCGTTCCTGCCCAAAAATAGCCCTGGGTAGAGAGGTCTAGCACACATCCTACTGCCTGATCCTTTTGACTGGAGGTACCGAGGATTAAACCTGGTACATTCTGCATACAATGTAGATGTTCTACCACTGAGCCACAGCCTATAATGTACTATAGGATGAGATGCAGTTTTAAAATTTGTGTGTGAATCCCAGGCAAAGGGAGCTAAACCATCCCTTTTCCTGGAGGAATATTTGATCCACCATTGGTGATACAATTTACATATTTTTTCACATTTCCTGTCCCCCATTCTAATATATATTTTAAGCACAGCTGCAATTTTAACACAAATGGAAGCTGTGCCTAGAACATTCTCATAGAGGAATGATTTTTTTTTCCAGGCGAGGCCACAAGTGTTTCAAATTGAGACAAACTGTTGTTACATAAATGTCTTCCAACCTGAAAAAAAATGACTCAGTGAAGGAATTTAGCGACGTCAGCAATGGAAAAGCATGGAGAGTCTTATGACGGAGGTCTCCTGATGGGCTAGGGGCTTACCTTAGAGTGAGTCATTCTATGAAGTAAAATGATGGAGTTAATCACAGATCCATTCTGAAGCCAGGAAACCTGTCAGAATTATGCCACCATCTTAGCTCTTCAGGGCAAG